CACCGATCTCTTAGAAAAAATCCGCGTTATAGTACCGCAACGCACTTTGGGTGGATATGGGATCTGCAGCGGCAAGTGTGGGATGGAGGCGGTGGCGATCCCCCAATGATACGTGACGTGACAACATGGCGGCATAACACTGAGCATAGTGCCGGGGCTTTTCGCGCCTACGAGTACCCTCCCCCTCGCGCCCCGCGCTTCCCTCTAGCCCCAAATGATCCAAAATCCCTAGTATATCTGCTGCGATAGAACTGCTCGAGATGAAATTTGATAAACCGATATATGTGGTATGTATATCTTCGACATATCTAAAATGTTTGAATTTCACTACGAGTACATGGCACCGCTGTTTCGCGAAAAATACAAAACTATACCGATACTGATAGTCTCATATACCATGCAGAATGTGACGATGATCTATAATATAATGAAACGCGATATAAATAGATTTGACACGAGCAATTACACTGTTGACAACGTGTACGGTCCCAAATAAAAAAGTTCCTGGTCTTATACATAGACATATCTAAGTTCAAGCAATAATAGCAAAAATCATTTCAATTTCTAACTTTTTTACAACAATGGCCCCATATCTATTTATGATGTTCACAATATTTTAACTACTGGTTAAGTTTTTCAAAGCTAAATCAAGTATGACATGTTTAGAAGTTTTGATGACCATTAGAAACAGCATAAATGATATCTTGTGCAAAAGGATTCATTAATCGTTTATTATTTTTCTTCTTACTATTTTTGTAGTACTTATAGTGTCGAATAAAAATTAATAGCCATTAAGGCTATTAAACACTCTCGAGTAACTGTTTTATTTTAATGTCATCGGGCATTTTCTGCGGTTGAATGTTCAATATGTCATTTCTCAAAAGTAACGCTGCTTCGTAAAGTATATTAACATTATTTAGTCTTTTGAAATCATTTTCAGTAAGATAAACTCCGCTGAATGGCATTATAACTTTCTGATTATTTAATAAATTAATTTTAATTTTTGTATCAAACGTATATATCTAATAATTTTTTTTTTTTCAAATAATTTGATGCAGAAATTAGGAGAAATATTCAGTGTATCGTCGATCGTTAAACGATTAATATATATACTGCGTAAAAACTTGAAGGAGGAGCATTGATTTTTTAAAATAATGTTAATGTTAACAAAATCGCGAACACTTTGGTGCGATTTTATACAATAACAATCTCTTTATGTCACACGGTTCATTCTTTAGGCTTACTTTGATTCACTTTTATAATTAATAAAGCAAATTCTGTGATATGCAATGATACGATTCAAACATAATAGATTATTAATACTTTGAAGCATTTCTATATTGTTAACTTCAGTGGCATAAGATAATTTATATATTACTAATTTGTATGTGTCAAGTATAAATTTTTTTGGTTATTTTTTTCATGGTCATTTTTCTAAAATATTGTTTTCTGATTACTTTGATCTCCGATATAAATCACTCGCAGCGTACTACACGAAATGAAGAATACGGGATTTGAAATTATAATGAGTTTTGTAATGCCATGTATATTTTTGGTTTATAACGATGTTTAAATATTACGGCAATATTGACGAGCAAAGTCGAAACGTTTGTATTTGTCAATTGTAATTGTTATATGAAATTTATGATTTAATTTAAATTAAAGTTAAATACATTATTTGAAAAATTGCTTTAATAGTAGGAAAATTATTCATGTGTATTGTAAGCATTATTCTACTGGAATAATAAAAAAATGTTTCCAGCTTTTTAATATAGTTATTTACAAAAGTGGATTGTTTATTAATCAAATACAATCCGTCTCCTACATATGTAAGCAAACGAAGTATAATGCAACGAAGTATAATTCAATACTTTATCAAAATCTTTTTATATGATAAAATATTATAATAAACAAATTATAATGTCTTATCAATTGTTTGAGAACATGATGGTTCAGATAACAATATATTTGCTTCAAAAGTAGCCGAGGAACTTGAAGTTGCTCTATAATATTTAAATAAAATAAAATTAACATTTAATTCTTTCGAAATTTAAATGTTAATATATTAGGTGTGGGAAAAAGTTGTGGCGTTTTTTTAATGCCATCTAATGGGAAAAACGCCACCACGAACTTTTTCCTACCTAATAATATGTTTTACAACAAATAGGAAATTTAATTTTCAATCTTGAAACGCAATCTTACGGAACTAGAATAGATAGTAATATTACAAATTCAATTAACAAACAATTTTAATAATATTGATGTTCACAGCATCTTGGAAAAATTTTAATAAATTGATGATGATAAACATCTTAAAACTATATAAATAATTACAGATATATTGCGAAAATACAAATGGATATGTATTAGGTGTACAACTTCCGCCGTTTTTTTTCCGAAATTCGAGGTTTTATTGTAAAAAACTGGTTATACAATTTGATTCAAAGTATTGTCCATCGCTGGCCACTACTTTCTCCCATCTTTCGGGTAGCGTACGAATCCCGCGGCGAAAAAACTGGTCATCTTTTGAGGCTATCCACGAATTGATGCAATTTTTTACTTCTTCATAAGATCGGAAGTGCTGGTCAGCCAGGTCGTGTGCCATTGATCGAAACAAGTGATAATCAGAGGGAGCAACGTCTAGAGAATACGGCGGGTGGGGTAGGACTTCCCATCAACGTTTCCAAGTATGTCTTGACCACTTTCGCAACATGGGGTCGAGCATTGTCATGCTGCAAAATCACTTTATCGTGTCTCTCGTTGTATTGCGACCGTTTGTCTTTCAATGCTCAAACGCATCAATTGCGTTCGATACCGATCGCCTGTGATTGTTTCAGTCGAACAGTTCATAATACACTACGCCGAGCTGGTCCCACCAAATGCAGAGCATGACCTTGGACGTCAAAATCACCGTTCTTGAAGCGTTGAAACCACTCACGACACGTTCTTTCACTAATAGCGGCCTCACCATAAGTATTTGAGACCATTCGAATCTCAGCCGCAGATTTCTTCATATTGAAGCAAAAAATTAAAACCTCCCGCAAATGACGAGAATTTGGCTCGTAAACTGACATTTTCAATCGAGAATAATTTTATGATGCAGACACAAATCGACTAATGTTTCTATGAGGTTATGTTGACAGATGCCCAAGTTTATTGTATGACGTCTATGATCTATTTATTTCGA